GGCAGCACCTGTGCGAGCGCCACGTGTCCCGACGTACGTACGGGCCCTCTGCCGTACGACCGTACGTACGGCTCGTACGTACGGGCCTTGTGTATGTACGGCCCGTACGCTTAAGGCGTCGGACGCGTTCCGAGACTTCTGCAGGGCGGCGGGGGGGGGGGGGGGGGGGGGGGGGGAGGGGGGGGGGGGGGGGGGGGGGGGGGAGGGGAGCGGTCCGGCCCTTTTCCAGGTTGGGCCCACTTGTGAGGGCCGCAGGCGGAGTTGTGTGCGGGGTGCGTACAATGGCATCCAGGAAAGGGAGGGGAGAGCAGCAGTTTGTCCCGGTCAGCAAGGACAAATAGAGGCAGGCGGAACTGAAGTTCTGCGGGTTCAAGTGGATCACGAAGGGGCAAACACTGCCAAACTCCAATGGGAATTTTCTCATGGAGTGCAAATTGTGCGGCCGGGGGTTTCAGGGCAGTCAGTCGAAGGCCACACAACACTTCACAGTAAAAAACAACTGTTCTAAAGTCACCGTGGAGCAGCTCGTGGAGATTTGGAACAAGACAAATTACTCGTTCGATCATAGCCACCATCGGAAGATCCTCGACTTCCTCAGGTCTCGTGGGTTTCGAGCCAATAGGAATACTTCGGGGAGGGAGCAGGCGGGGGAGGAGGAGTACGACGACAGCGAGGACGAGAGGAGGGCGGCCGAGGGGGGAGGTGGTGATAGTGGCGGTGAGTCACAAGACATGGAGATGCGGCGAGAGGCGAAGCGCGCCAGGGGTAAGTTGAAGGGGGACAAGGCCGTTGACGAGGACAACACCCCGGTGAGCACGACGATGACGACGATGACGACGGCGATGACGGCGCAGATATTGGGGCGTCTCTTGATGGGGGTCTGATGGCCGCTGGGCGACGAGGCCAAGAGGGGGCTGCCAAGGCGATGAAGGAGGCTGCGCAATCGAAGAGGAGAAAGAGGAAGGCAACGACACCAGCTCCTTCTCTGCCGAAGAAGGGCAAAGTCCTTCGACAGACTTCCATGATGGAGGCCTTCGATCCGGCGTGGCAACGTGAGTTTTCGAACGAGTTTCTGCAGTGGTGGTACGTGAGCGAGATTCCATTCGAGGCGGCAAGGAGGCCAGAGTACCAGCGAGTGAGGAAGCGGCTGCTCGAGTGTCCGCCGTATACACATCCTGCGTTGCCCACGCACCGTGTCATTTCCAGCGATGACATCCCAGAGCAGCAGCGAGTTGTGGTGGAGATGGTGGCGGCCGTCCGCAAGGATATTGCGGCGACGGGAGCGACCATCCTCACGGATGGTCGCAAGTCCATCACTAGCGACCAGATAGTCAACTTCCTTGCTGCTGGGCCCACGGCCCACGGGAGCCTACCTTTTCAGGACTGTGCAGCGTGACGGTGCTGTTCACGAGACATCCGAGGTCGTGGTCGAGTGATGGAAGGACGTGTTCGACAAGTTCGGTGTCGAAAACGCCAACGCCATTTGCACTGATTCCGCGTCCGCATATGTGGCTGCATCCAAGCTCCTCGCGAAGGAGGAAGTCAAGTACAGTCGCATTACTTGGCTTCCGTGTGTGGTCCATGTCTGCAACTTGTTGTTGTCAGACATTGTGAAGGACGACACCCCCGGGAAACTTGGGAAGAGGGAGGACACCATCATCAGGGCTCGAGCAGTCGTGCATTTCATCAGAGAGCACGGGGCAGCTCTCAACCTTTACCGTCGGTTCTCTGCCGCCCACCCCTCTTCCGCCTCCGCAGTTGCGGGCACTTCAAGTGCTGCTCCACCATCATCTCAGCGGCGAGGCAGAGAGCTTGTGATGCATGGAGGCGATGATGATGAGCGACGACTGGTTGCGGACTGCATGGAGGAGGTCGATTTTCTTGCAGGCCAGGTGGGTGCGTTATCAGGTGCGGTACGCGCCATTCTGGGAGCACATGGAGGACATCGTGGAGCTGATGACGCCTGTGATGCAGTTGCTGCGTCGTTTGGACAGAGGGGGGTGCGTGATGACTCGCATGTGGTCGTGGGCGCTTGCCATGGTTGACAGAGTGGCGAGGGCGAGACTGAACATGACATCGATGGAGGAGCTCCACATTGTTGTTCAGGCTTGTCAGGCGCGGGTCAATCATATGTTGGAGCCCGCACCTTGCATGACCCACCTCCTCAACCCTCGCCACAGGAGCATTACTTATTTTGGAGCGGCGAGGCGCACCCAGCACGACAAGACACTCGCGGACGAGTCGCTGCGATATCTTCGCCAGCAGACTGGCGCGGATGAGGATTTGTATCAGACATTGCGCACGCAGTTCGCAGAGTTTCTTAGCCGGGAGGGCGAGTGGATGTACGAAGGGGTTAAGGGTGACAGGGATGCGGCCTCCTGTAAAGGGGAGAAGGAGACGTCGCAGGTGGGGCAGTGGTGGGTTCAGCACGGGGACGGGGTCCCTCTCCTTCGGAGTTACGCCATTTGCCTGACACACACATGGACGTGCGCCTCTCCATCGAAGAGGAACTGGGCCGTCCATGAGCATGTTCAGGTGAAGAAGCGTAACCAGCTTGGTTTTATCGAGCTGGCTCGTTTGGTGGAGATATCCACCAACTTGAGATTGAGTCGTTGTCAGGGGAGGGGTTCCGGGTACGTTCTGCCATGGGAGGATCCTGAGGAGGAGACAAAGGACAGTATTCCTCCTCCTCGTGATGAGGGTGTTCGGCCAGCTGACCGAGTCACGGAGGCGCAGCGGGACCGGCAGGTGCAGCGCGGGCGGAAGGATCGCCTTTCGAAGGCTTCGCCCATCGTCGAGACGTATTTCGGTCGTCGCGCCACGGTGCTCATGCCGACTGAGTTGGACGCTGTGTACGATCCCGAGCTTGATCCTATGGCTCAGAACCCGATTAAGGCGGAGCCGTGGTCCGATCCAGACGACCTGGCAGTGGAGTCAGAGCCGGGAGATTCTGATGATGGGGGCGACGATGATCGTCTCGACCAGTTGTTGCATCCTCGGACGCGTGCTTCCACTGCAGCCGCTGCGCAGCATCCCCCTCCCCCTCCACCTCCGGGATCGAGTGGTCGTGCTTCCACCGGAGCCGTTGCGCAACATCCCTCTCCACCTATAGATCGACTAGGACATGGCGAGCAGGGGACTCGACAGACTGTTGAGGAGGGACGAGGCGACGACGACGATAATGACAGAGAGGGGTACGAGGGCAGCAGTGAGGACGAGGATGATCTCGCCTATTCCCCGACACGCGGACGTGGTGACGACGACGACGATGACGACGAGGGCGGCGACGGCACACAGGTTGCCGGTGGTTTGCAGAGGCCAGGTCGACAGCGTGCCGACCGATGCAGTGGTGCAGGCAGGGGAGGGAGTGGTGCAGACAAGGGAGGCAGTGGTGCAGGCAGGGGCGTGGTGGGCGCACGAGACACGGGGGCTGCAGGCCATGGTGGCGGAGGACAGGCGAGGCGAGAGTCTGCATCGTCCACTTGCATTGTGCACTGGGTCGATGAGGGTGCCCCGACAACAGAGGTTGGCGCCGGGTCGGGAAAGTTAGGTGCTATGTCGGCAGAGGCCGCTGCAGAGGCTGCTCCCTCCATTGCAGAGGTTGTTGACGAGGCTGCACAGGTTGGGAGCGCTTCTGCGCAGTTGGGTGCTAGTTTTAGTGGTATGTTGGATGTTTCGTTAGGGTTTCCTCCGACACCGGCAGACGAGCATGGCAGTGGTGATGCGGACACTGCGGCTACGCCCGTCAGTCAGGTACTCCGGGATATACCTTCATGCAGCATGGGTGACATCAATAGCAGCATGTTGCAGGAGGCAGCAACGGGGACACAGGGTTCGTTGGGGCAGGAGGAGTGTGCACCAGGGGACGGTAGGGATTGTCGATCTGAGCACGAGCGAGCGCCTTAGTCGGAGCAGGACAGGATCGACCGCGAGGAGAGGGAGATGGCGCAGGACTTGGCTAGCCGTTGCCATGACACAGAGCATTGCGTCGAGAGCACGGACACACCGGTTGCTCGAGACGGGCGGTGGAGAGGGTCATCGTGCGACGGACGATGCAGTGCTCGAGTGTGGCGGTGCGGGCGGTGAGGAGGCAGGCGAGAGACCCGTGTCGCCGGTTCAGGGTGTTTGTAGTCAACATAAAAATTCCCACAAGAAATGAAAGTTGAAAAAATATTCCATAAAAAAAAATCCTTCATATTTATAAATTATCATTCCAATATTCGACCAATTCTAAAATTTTCATTTTTATTTGATAAGTTCCTGTCTAAAAATGAGTTTCCCCTTCCAACTACATCTATTTGTTCAAGATGGAATGAAAGTCGAGACGAGTTTATGAAATGTTTTAATTAAATTTTCATTCTACTACAACAAATATCTTCTAATTTAGATTGGATTAACCTATTTATGAACGAAAATCCTTACTTAGAATGACAGTCCAATTAAAATACTTCATGAACTCATCCAGACTTTCATTCCACCTCTAGCATGCGGTCCAAATAAGAAGGGATACCCTATTCTTAGAATGAAAGTTTACAAGTAAGATGAAAAATTTTAAAATTGGAATGACGTTTTTTAAGATGGCATGAAAATTTAAAATTTAGATTGTAATTTTACGATAGAATGATTACTTAATTCTAGGAAATTTTTCTGTTGTATACTGCCTATCGGTGGAGTAATGACGGCGGGGGAGTTGGAGCGGCAGGCATGGGAGGACCCATTGCGGGCAGATCGACGCGGACGGATGGATGAGGCGTCGAGGAGGTTCATGGCAGAGGCCCCAGCGTACGTGCCGTGCAGCCCGTCCCTGCCATCGTCCACCACTGGTGCCACCACCTCCGTACATGCTGAGGGTGCCACCACCGGCGGGCCACTGCACCGGAACCTGCAAAGTCTCCTTCTCCCAAATCGTCGAAGAAGAAGATGAGAGCAGGCAAGAGTCTCAGTACTGTGAGGAGGGTGACGCATGCGATGCGGGAGAGTCAACCCGGGTTGGCTGGTTTACATCCGCGGAGTCGGGAGGCATTGGCCCGGGACGTTGTTGCGGACACAGTAGGCTGGCGGGAGAGGGCCTCCACCCGGGCGACGAAGCAGCCCATGACAACACCTGTTGAGGCGGCGATGCCACGTGCCGAGGGGCGCATAGCAGTTAGGGGGGAGGAGGCGGAGCACAGTGGCCCCCCCGGGAGGAGCATGACCGAACGTATATTGGGGGAGGATGTGAGGACGGTGCCTGCACATCGACCGCCAGAGACAGCATGCATTTTTGAGTCTGATACCGATAATTTGGAGATGCCTCGTGGCCAGCGGAGGAGGGATTCCGTGTACGACCTTCTTCGAGCACAGCACGGGGTTGAGGCGGTGCCACAGGGGAAGGTTCATGCTTCGGGTACTGCGCACAGGCCGGTAGGAGGCACAGGTGGCGGCGACGATGTCACAGGTGTGGGGACGCACAGGAGGAGGAAGGACATTGTGGACGACGACGATGATTAGTCTCACCATTAGTCTTCTTTCGTCCTGTATTTCTCAGTAGTGTATACTACATTTAGTGCATCTGATGACGTGTTGTATTTATATGTGCAGTGTATATTATATGTATTATTTCGTCGTGAGCGCATTTGTATTTGTATAGATGGTTAGACTAGTGCACAATTTTTCATACACAGGTGCAGTAGGTGCAGATTGTTCTTTATTTTTTGTTTTATTTTTCCATCGATGTTTCAGAGGATTGCACTCTTTGTTCAGACATGGGTGCAGCATCTGCAGCGCTTGCATTGTGTTTGTTTTACTTCTACTTTGCTATCGATCTTTCAGACGATTGCACACTGTATTCGCACAATATTTGAGTTAGTTCAATCTTCATGCTTCTTTTATTGTTGTGTATCTATGGTGCAGCTGTTTCGCATTGTTGTTATGTTGCCATGTAATGTTGTACTTTCAAAATTTATGCATCGATTATCACTCGCAAATGATCTTCAATGACTCAATGCTTTTGAAAACTGTTTGTAACTGTTGTTGTTTGAAATCATGAACTTGCTGTACGCTTATGCTTGTTTCGTCCTGATGTTCATTCGCCTATGATGCATTTGTCAGCATCCCCCACCCAACCCTCCCAAGGGGAAACCAAAGGACGACCTTGGCAAAGACTTCCCGAAGGACCCCTGATAATGCCCCC